TTCATTTGATTTATAGTATAATTCAACTCATGCCTCTCTTGATTTTTTTTTTTTTTTTGGTCTGGATGATCTATCTGTGGTGGTGGGTGTCGAAATCATCCACTATTTTGGGGGGGGGATCTATCTCTCCTTTATTTCTAGTAGTATTTATTTTTTAAAGTCCAGTACTCCAACATTGAGTGCATAYATATTTTTAATAATTATATCTTCTTGATGACCTTCATGAGAATGTAGTGACCTTCTTTTTCTTTTTAACTGATTTTGATTTGAAGTCTGTTTTGTTGGCTACAAGTATAGCTACTCCTTCCTGCTTGTTGATTCCATTTGACTGTAATGTCATTTTCCAGACTTTCACTTTCAGATTGTGTTTGTCTTTGTAGATGAAGTGAGTTTCTTGCATGTACCATATCCATGGGTCTTATTTGTTTTATCCAATCAACTTATCTGTATCTTTTAATTGGAGAATCAAGATCATTCAAGACCATTGATGAAAAATCTGTAGTTGTTCATTAGGTTCTTCTGAATAGTTTATTATGTTCATTTCTTCCTGTCTTATACATCTTAGACATTTAATGGTTTACCATATTGATAATGTTTGATTCTTACCTACTTATCATTTGCATGTCTACTCTTCTAGTGATATTTATTCTTTCCTGTGCTCAAATGATTAAGTTAATTTTTATTGCTTCTCTGGGTATAGTGCTCATGAATTCTTTTAGCCTATGAGTACCTGGAAAAGTCTTTATTTCTTCTTTAATTTCAAACAATAAGCTTGCTAGATAATGATAAGGGTATTCTTTTCTTTAAGGATTTGAAACACATCATTCTACACTCTCCTGGCCTTTACAATTTCTTCTGCAATGTTATTCTGTAGGGTTTGCCTTTGATTATTACTTGCCAATTTTCTCTTGCAGCTTTTAAATTCTATGTTCTATACTCTTAGGAATTTAACTATACTATTATGTTGTGTAAATGTTATTTTCTGGTTATGTCTATCTGGCATTTTAAATTCCACCTGTACCTGGGTATCCAGAACAGAATGCAGAGCTTCCCAGATAGACTCTTTCTGGAGTCATTTGAGTTGTGCCTTCTGAAATCAGTACAGATATTGATTTCACAGCATGTCAATGATCTAGGGCAGAATGTGGAGCTCTCCAAAGATTCTCTCCATACCTTTTTATGCTGTGTGCTTAGAGGGCAGAGGCACTATCAACTCTGCAGCATGACCTGGTATACCACAAAGGGTAGAGAAAAGCTATGTAGTCCCATAGATCTCGCTGATCAGGTATGGCTTTGGGTTCTGTACATTCTGCTATCTATGATCCTGGTGTTCRCGGCCTTGGCTTTTTCAGGTTGTTATATTTGGCTCTTCTAGATTGTTACATGTGACTGCTCATTGCCTTGGACTCTGATATCTGGCCTGCTGAACCACTGATTCTAAAGGGAAGTGACTTCCATTCCCTTGTGTGCTTCAGTTTGATCTCCCACTGCATAAAATTCTCAGAAAGTTGCTGTCAGATTTTCTCCCACTAGGTTTGAATTGACTCTTGAGCCTACTTCCTGATATGTCTGTGTAGTGTAATTTCCATGAGTTCTCAGAGACAGGAAAATTCAGGGGTCTTCGACTCCCAGAACAGTAAGTTCAGAAAATTAGGACTCTTCTCAAGATAGCTCCCAGTTATATCCCCATGAGAATATGCAGGCAAGGGCAGAGAACTTCTCCAAAGCTAGTTTGCCATGCAAATCTCAGGTCTATTGTTTGGTTAGACTATATTTCTATACAATACTAAATCCTGTGCCAGTGGTGCTCACTGGAACTCTTCCTCACTTATATTTACCTCACAGAAGGGGCACTCCCCTTCCTGTGCTTCTATGTGATTGATACTGGGCTGTTCTATTTTACCCTCTATTCTATTATCCAAAGTCTCTGCATGAATTAGTCAGCTTTTAACTCTTAAAAAATGCCTAAGAAAAACAACTTAGGAGGAAATATTTTTTTTGTTTGTTTCAGAGCTTCAGAAACATCATGGTGTAAGGGCATGGCAGAAGAAACCTAATACCTCGTAACAGCCACAAAGCAGAAACAGAGAAGGAGGCAGGGCACACTTCCTCTAACTAAGTCCCATTTTCTATAGTTTCCACCATCTCCCAATAATCATCAAATTATTAGTTCATAAGTGAATTAATTTATTGATGAGGTCAATGGATCAATTATCCAATTATGTTCCAAGAGCCCTACCTCTGAACAAAGTTGCCTTCAACACATGAGCCTTTCAGGGACACTGAAGATTCAAACCATAACACATGGTTTCTTTGAGTATTTGTCTGTCTGCCATTGAATTCCAGCATTCTCCTATGGTCACTCACCTCATGAAGAAAGTGCAGTGCAGTGTTTTCATTATACCTCACAGAACAGGTGAGTTCTGGGTGCCTCTAACCCTTGTCTTAAATCTCTCTTTTGCTGCTTCCAAATCTTTTCCTTTGTCTTTAGTGGCAAAGATTTTATTATGATGTATTTCTGTATAGATTTATTTGAGTGTATCCTATTTGGGGTTCCCTTGACTTCTAGGATCTATAGTTTTATATCTTTTTTAACAAATGAAGAAGTTTTCAGTCACTGTTTCTTTTTCATCTCTATTTTCCTTCCCATCTCCTCTGTGACTGATAAACAAATGTTAGATTTGTTATTATATTTTCACAGTTCCCACAGGCTCTATTCAATTTATTTTCTTGTATTAATCTTGGATAATTTCCATTGCACTAATTCTTTTTTCTGTTTTCTCCATTTTATTGTTGAGTACATTTTTATTTCTCGGATATTGGATTTTTTCAATCCTAAAATTCTCATTTGATTCTAATGAAAATTATAAATTTTCATTTAATTCTAATATATTCTCTATTTCTTTCTCAGGAATTTTTTGTCTTATTTTGTTGTACATTTGTTTCAAGCACGTTTTCTATAGCTTATTAATACAATTTTATCATAACAACTTTAAATAGATGATTATTTATTTGTAGATGATTCTAACATCTCTAATATGTTGGTGTCTGTATGTACCAACTGGCCTTTTATCATGTACCCTAAGATCTTCCTGGGACTTTGTAGAATGAGTAATTTTCCACTGAAATATTATTATATTGGGTATTAAGACACTCTTCATCTTATTTAAACTTTTTTTGTGAGGGCTGGCTTTCTGGATATCACACTGACAAGGGAAAAGGAGGGTGCTGTCTTTTTACTGCCATATAGACGTCAGGTTCCCTATTTGATGTTTTCTGACACCCAACAGGCATGGCTCCTTGCTATGTATGACTGAGAGAGAATAAAAGTCTTGGCTCAATATTAAGCTTAACTAATAGCTCCTTGGATGGGAGGGGCATGAGTATTTATATAACATAATATTATAGTTAAATTCCTAAGAGTATAGGACATGGAATTTTAAAAGCTGCAATTTTAAAACCTACTTGGTTTTCAATGACACCATAAAGAGAAAAAGCCTTATTACTACAGAGTGGTAATCAAAGACCTGACTACCAGTAGACATTCTTTATATCACCCAAAGGTACAGGATGAGGAAAACCTCATTACACTCAGGTTGAATGGGAGTTCAGGCTTCCCACATGCAGAAGCTCATTGTTGCCAGTGGGGACATGGGTCTGCCTAGAGTGGGGAGATACTTATACTAGGATCCCCACTTGTCCTTCGTACAAATGGATTTGGGAATGCAGTTTTTACATGTGATGTTTGGCTAAAGTAGAACAGTTATTGTCCAAAACTCATCTCCTTTACTATACTGCTCCTTTCCTTGTTCTGTGGCTATAAAAAGTAGGCTTTTCATCTACATCTCTGTTGTTCCTGGGTTGCTGGCACCTAGTGTGGCATATATGAGGAAACAAGAATCAAGTCATAAAACTCATCACTCTTTAATTCCTTAGGTTTTGAGGTTCCCTAGCGAGTCTGCCTTCTCGTCCATCTTTCAGAGTCTTTTCATATTACTTACACACACACACACACACACACACACACACACACACTCAGGTTTCTGTTGTACTAGGGAAAGCACACAGAAATCTAGGTCTACTCTACATTCTTGGAAGCAGAAATCTACCTTCATTTTGATATGTGTATAATTTCTACCTTAATTTATAAATTTCGTAAGACAATGTTAATTCTGATAGTCAAATTTGGAATACAAGATATTTGCACTCAACCTTTTTGTGTTGTGAGAGAATGATGTTAAACTCTCTGATTTTAATTGCCATTAATACATCRTAGTGAGAAGTCATATTAATGGAGTTTTATTTGAGAGATGATGGTGTAGTTATTAAATACAAAATTTTATTTAGGTCAAGTCAGACTTCAAAACACGAATATCTAGCCCTTCAGACAAATGCTTATGCTAAAATGTGCCAACACTTTTAGGCCTACGTTGAGCAACACTAAAAAAAAAAACTAATGTATAGATAATGAAAAATGACCAATTTGTATTATTTGTAGCAGTGCTATAGAAAGTACAATTCACCACACCTCAAAGCATCCCTTTGTGAATATGAGGCTCAAGTTACCCAGCATCTCATCACAAGAAACAAAACAATTATTTTTTATATTTTGAAGTTGTGAGACCAATAATTTTTTCTCTGTGTGCCAGGAAATCCAGAGTCAAGTTTGGTAATCCCTCCAGTATCTTGTAGCACAGATCATGTATTGGGCTTATCCTTGATTTCATTTTATCTTTCAGTGAAAATTTTATTTTACACAGATTCTTCTTTCATGTATTTTTGTTAATCCAATAATACAGTAAGCATTTGGTACCTAGTCTCATTTATTTTAGAGACAGATGGATAAATGAATATATTAGATAAACATGGAGCATTAGTAAGTCCTGTTCAATAGGACAGTAAATGAACTTTGGGTTTGTTCTCTACTCACAAGAGGAACTCAGTGAGTGCTGCCACTTAAATCCCACACCTCTTTGTTAGAGGACAAACACAAATAGTACCTGTAAGACTGATGCACCGCTGTGGAGAAACTGAAGGCCACTTTCAGCTGAATCAATCCCACCAGTGGCCAGAACAGGAAATCCAGGCAAAGCACGAGCAATGGAGGTCACAGCTCTCAAAGCAATAGGTCTGATTGCTGTCCCTACAGAAAATGAGCATTAGAAAAGATTAACACATTGACCATTGGAAAATGTCGCTTTATAGTTATCATATGTGAAGTCAATATTGTATCAGGCAAATTTCACATTTCTTCATCTCTGTTTAAGATATATACATGCATAATATATAAACATTATGTTTCAGAGCATGTTAATTTGTCAATGCATGTGTATGTAAGAAATTTAATGCTATTACTGAATGCAGACAAGTTATGAAGTGGGTATATCAACCGTAGAACTCTTGCATAAAATACATGCAAATTACAATTTGACATACAGCAATGTGTAAAGATTGAATGGAATGTTCAAGCATCTGTTTCAAAAAGAACAAGGAACAGCAGGTTCTGAAAAACAAAACCAATCATATACAGTACATAAATAGACATACAACTCTGTTATGTTTCTGCAAAGTCAAAAGCAGCTGGTGTGAATATAGATGCTGTAAAACAAGCAAGGTGCTGACAAACTTGCAGATTCCATATTTCTTTGTACATGTATTTCAAATACTTTGAGAAAACAGCATGAGCCTAATGTAAATTTCCACATATTAGAAAATTTTAACCAAATTAAAGAGAATTTATTAGAATCTAGTAATTATAGTGCATGTGTCTTCATACATCTGCGTATAAATTTATTTTTCATTAGCCAGACATTCCCAGTTGATCTTTTCCATAATAGTCATGAATATTGCCTGAATGGACAGAACACCTTGTGGTCACTTCAAACATCAATACACTGTACAGAAGCTCTTTTGGTCCTCAAGTATTAAATATCCCGAAGAGCATCAATGATTATGAAATAGAGAAAACATTTGGATATTCCTGGCATTCACTCAGAAATCAACAGTCCTTTAAGGTCATTTTCTGAACTAAATATARATCTTTTTATGTAAGAATTTGACATTGCCTTAAACCAGGGCTCAAAAAACAACTCAAACATCAACTGATTCAAAGTTGTACTAAAAGGCATGTAGTACTTTTCATCTCCTCTGCTGCCACAAGCACAATTATCAGCATTGTCAGTATGTATTTACTGCAGTGCTCACTTCAAGAAAGCACTTGGCACTTTGCTTGGGATCAGTGGCTTTTAACCTGAAAAGGCTATATACTGTATGGTAATGACTGCAATGATATTCAGGAAAAGGCAAAACTATGGAGACAGTAAAAAGACCAGTAGTTGGGGAAGTAGTAAAGGGAGGATTTTTAGGACAATAAAAACACTGTATGTGTGATACTATAATGATGGGCACATGTTGCCATATATTTATCCAAATTCATTAAACACACAATGCTAGGAGTTAACCCTGATATGATCTATGGGCTTTCGGTACTAATGATGTATCAGTATATTCATGAATTGTAACAAATTTATCACTTCAGTGAAGTATGTTGATAATGAGAGAGGTTACCAACATATGGGGACAGCTGGTATATAAGAAATCTCTGCCTTTCTCTCAGTTTTTGCTGTGAATCTAAATCTACTCTAAAACAATAAGTTCTTTAAAAAAGTCAAACTTTTAAATTCTGTTTATATCAATTTCAGATAGATATAACTTATGCATAAAAGGTGCTTTTGCACTTAAAACCAAGTGGAAATGTGGAAATGTGTGCTTCTTGTGCCAAACATTAAAAAATTTCCTCTATTTAGTATTTCTTAGTCAAAAGATTCTATGCTGATACTTTAAAATTTCATAATAGACATTTAGCACACATAAGTATTAAGGCAAATTAGAAATCAGAGATTGAGATTATATTTTTATATCAAAAGATTTATCAATTATATCTTTGTGTTTGAACCATAAAGGAAGCTAATATAGCAGACACAATTTATGTATATATATGCATTTATATATACATATGAATAGCTCTATTAAAAAGAAATCTAAATGAAGATAAAAGTTAAAGGAGGCTTTTACAGAAATCTACAACTTAAACCCTCAGATAAGTATACAGCTATCTCTGCATAATATAACTGACATGCTCAATACATACTAAGCTAATGGGTTCTTTATATACATGTTACTTTGAAGTAATAAAGAAATATTGGAATTCAAACTCACCCTTATTTAGTTGACCCAAGAGACTAAAGGAAATTTGAACTAAGCAGATAAATAATTTATTTCTAACTGCACTGTTAGAAGACTATCATTAACACTAAGGGGTAAAATTTCAAAGTGGTATACAGGGATTTGGCCACATATTCCAATTGATATTAATGGACATCAAATGGCAAAATCCCAGGACACAGCTTTGAAAATTTAACCAGTTACATTTAAAGGGCAACATTATTACACAGGTGTTAAAAAACATCAGCAAATCCTCATTGGCATTTGAAGATGTTGAATTACATCAATATGACATATTCTATTTCATGTTTTTCTTCATTTTCTAAAACTTTTCTAATCCACCTAATGAACATGAAAAATTTTAAAACTAATAGAGTTGTCGTTTTTTAAAAAATATTAAGGGCAATTATGTTCTAAGAAAATGTGATTCAAAAATGAAGAACCAGATCTTTCTGCTGCTGGGCAACAGTAAATTTTTTAAGTAAGTTTTTATTTCCATTATAAACTTCATTTGATTTTTTAAAAAAATAACTCAACTCATTTAATGTAACAGGCAATCTACCTCTTCTCAGCATTTTTATGGGGAATAGATTTTATAAATGGTTTTCATTCTCCAAGAAAGGTTTCTCAAAGGAAACTAGAGGTATGTAAAAGGATTGTTCTAAATTGTAATATAGAATTTTTTTAACTTTTAAGATTACAGAAATGAAGAAATAATAAGTTCAAGACAAAAAAAATTGGTGCAAAGAAAAATATATATGCAGGGCACTGTAGCATACGCCTGTAATCTCAGTGGCTTGAGGAGGCTGAGGCAAGAGAATTATGAGTTCAAAGCCAGCCTCAGCCAAAGGGAGAACCTAAGCAACACAGTGAGACCCTGTCTCACACATATACAACATGATACAGAATTGTGTATATGCCAATGAAAATTCCTAGAGACTGTAGAGTCACAGTGGAGATAACAATTTTTTAAATTATGTCACTGCTATGAACAATGTTTTTAGATCAAAGACCAGGAAGAAGCCAATTTGAGAGATTTAAGAAATGTGAATGTAGTCTCCATTCTTAAGAAAACAAGGTCTAAATCAAGAAACTGCAATCATATAAGCTGCAATGAATTAAGAGGTAACATGCAATTTAAATTAAGCTTTCATTTACATGGGGTGGCCCGATGAACCTAACAGGAAATTCAGTTACATCCCACCATTCTGTTTCATCTGTTCAGAAACTTTAAATAAAAACTAAGCCATTTTAGGTGGCCAGGACTGGATACAAATTGTGGATTCAAACAAACAACAAGCAATCAAACAAAAGAAGAACCAGATCTTTGAATAGCAACATCCCTGCCAAGAATTCTAATTGGCAGTGAAGGGTCCTTCTGGAGTAGTTAATGGACTGGACTGAACTGCAACTTTTGGTCTCTAATCAATGTAGGCCCTCCTTGTAGTCACACTTAAAATGCAAATCAATATCTTGAGGATATAGATCTTCTTTGATAAACTGCACAGAACTTTTTTGGATTGATTCATGTTTTAGAAAATCATTTTACTAAGAGATTTTGAATTAASTTAATTATTCTAATTTTGATGAAACTTTTTTCCTCAAGAAAATGACATTATCATTTTTCAAAGGTCAGTTACAATTTGAAAAATGCTACATAATAACTACAGAATTATGTACTGATATGCATATTTGAACATATTATGAACTTGTCATGATGCATTCCTTAATCAGTCTTCACTTACCCATTTATCTGCTCATCTGTTTATAAACAAAATATTTATTAGGTACCTATATCTTTGTTTTCTGATTAATCAGTTTATGACCTTTCCATATACCTGAGATGGATATTCCAAACACCAGTTCTCATGATCTTAGGTAGGTTGTTTCAATGTAAACGATTTAGTGCAATTATATACTGTGTACCAGTTTTCCATTAGGAAAAATTAAAATTTGTTTTATCATCATACAGTTTATAAATATTATCAATACAAATTCTAGAAAGAAATCAGTTTTAGGATGAATTAGTTATATGAGACAACGGGTCCTACTGCCGAACTTGAACCCTAGATCCACTAATTACGAGCTGATTTTTTGAAAGATTATATTAATTTCACTGTAATCAATTGTGACATCTACAAAACAACGAGAAGAGTAGTAACAATCATTTTGAGGAATAAATGATTTAATATATTTCAAGGGCATATGTTGAAAATTGTTGAAGAGTTTGCTAGTATAATCTGCTATGGGTAACCCTCAGGGACAACTGATTTCAGAGAGAGTCCTTATTTAGTTTACTTGGTATTATGGTTTAGATGTGATGTGTCCCCCAAAAGCTTACATGTGAGAAAATACAGAAAGGTTCAGAGGAGAAATGATTGGGTTGTAAGAGTCTTAACCCAATTAGTGAATTAATCCCTGATGGGATTAATTGAAGAGGTAGGATGTGGCTGGAGGAGGTAGGAATTGGGGTATGGCTCTGGGGAATATATTTTGTGTCTGGAGAGGAGTCTCTTGAGCTCTGCTTATTGATCACATAATGTTAGCTGCTTCCCTCTGCCACACTCGTCAGCCATGATGTTCTGCCTTACCTAGAGCCCTGAGGAATGGAGGCACTGTTCTATGGACTAAGACCTCTGAAACCATGAGCCCTCAAGTAAAATCTTTTTCCTCTAGAGTTGTTCTGGGCAGATCCTTTAGTCAGAGCAGTGAAAACACTGACTAAAACACTTGGACATCGCCTTCTATATTGTTCTTGTATGTTTAGTGAGGCAATGAAACTGATATCTAAATTGGAGACAAAAGCATAATACCCATGATGATAGAATTTTATATCCACTGACATTTAAAAGAACCATGCATGTCCTCTCCTTTTTCTTCTTTTCTAACAGCTGTCATTTAGCATGTCATAATGTTGAT